ACGATTTCACACCGCAAGTAAAAAGCTGCTTTTAAATTAGATATGTACGGCGCTCGTCTCCTGTGAAAGCACAAAGTATTTGTTGTGCCAGCAAGCACGGGAGGTCAAAGCAAAGTCATTTTTCTCCGTTGAGTTGGAAATTAACTTCTGCCTCCGAGCAATTCAACCCGGTTGGAACCCTGCTATGCTGCTGACCTCTCAGGCAACATGTGTGTGTGTGTGGCAAAAATAGCAAGGTGGAGGGTGCATGACTGCAGCAGATTAGCATCACATTGTTGATATGACATACATTCACAGGGAAAAAGAGAATATCTTCCAGCCATGGTAGTTGCGGTGGGGAGAGAGGAGAGGAACCCGGGTTTATTCACAGGACAAATGGGTGCAAGAAGTCGAAAACATTGCATATGTAGAGAATCTGAGGGAATGCATGAGTAAATGTGGTTCTCAAGTTTCATAAGCAATGAGGATCGCTGTCTGTTTACAACCTAAAGTGCGATCTCAGAAAAAAGAGCTACACAGCATTTCCTGGTAATAAATAAATAAATAGATAAATACAAAAAAAGTTGTTTTCCAAGCATTTAAAAAATGAAACTAAATCTCGGCTCAAAAGATAGTTTCACAAATCAAAAAATCATAGAAATACCTAGAGGGACTGCCCACTCGGCATTTTCCAAACTCCCTACAGAAGAGAAAGAAAACATTCTGCTCATCGTAGAATAAAGCTTCTGAGGAGCCGGACGAGAGTCTCTGTTCACATGTTTGTTGTACAGGTGAGACAATTACAATAATCCTGACAATGTCATTGTGATCAAGAGGAATCTGAAGCTATGCCTCACATAATGTATGCTGCGCATGATTTGGAGCGGGACGGAGAACAGGGCTATAGATACAAAATGTTTTTAATATCTCAAATTTAATGCCTTAATCTTCAAACATTTGGAAAGCGAATATAATTCTAGCTCTATATTAGTTGGCTCAAATAATCAAGATCGTGTCCAAAAACCTGCCACTCATCTGGCTGTGGTGTACTTTACTTTAAAAAACTGCTTTATTTCTGCTATTATTGTTGTTGCCATGGATTCCTGTGCTTTAGAAGTACAGCCTAGCTCATGACAATGGCCACTGTGAATGCAATCACACCAAATTGCCCATTTCAGGCAATTTTATATAATATGCACATGGTCACACAAGCCAGCACTCATTGCTAGATGTTAAATAGGGAGAAAAAAAAAGTTTGAAGAGAATAATTAAAGGGTTCTGACATCAAAAGTTGCATACTGTAGCTTTAAGACATCACCGGGTTGTGGGTGCCTTTGTCTCCTCGTGCGCACGGCGGCTCGCAAAGCCTGAAGAGATCAATTTTGTGAGCTCTGCCGTCTTTTGTGTGGCCTCGGAGAATCTGTTCGAAAGGATAATTGTTGTCTTCCACACACTTGCGCTCGCTGTAGGGACTCACCTGGAAAAGCACATGCATTGCCGTGCAGAGAAATCAATAGGCCGGAGTTAATTGGGCTCTCAGCAGAAGAGTCGGGGGGGGGGGAAAGAGCTGCGACTCGATGAAGAGGAAAGAAATGCATGTGACGGGCAAGACTGCACCTCTTAGGTAATAAATGAAAAAAAGGGATTCGGATCAAATTCAAGTCTGTCCAACTGACATAACATAACATTCACAGTACATAGCTGTCTTTTTAATATTTTAACAACCCATTCTACTTTGCGTCAGTATGTTGAACATCAGATCTCCAGATGTCAGAGTTACTCTTACTTTAGGCAAACAGCAGAGTGATACAGAAACCTATCTACTCGTGCTGAAAACGTCCTCAAAGACACGGATTCATACAATCTTTAGATGTTGACTACAGCAAAGGTAACATAATGATTAAGAACTCTGTCAAAAGTCTACGTGTACTGAATGGGTTTTGTTTTAAGCTGTAATCTAAAGTATATGGCTGTACTGTGATGAAACACGTCGATGCTGGTGTTCATGAAAAAAATCTGCATTCCATGGGTTGAAAATGGCTCAACACCTCATCTACTATTATAAAATCAGCCCTGAGCCTTACCGAGCCCTTTTTATGCAAACTGTCTGAGTGCTTTTGTGTAATCATTGCGGGCAACAGCATGTAGTACAAAGGTATTTAATTAATCAAAATGCTCCATAGAATAGCTTTGTAAGGCGTTGCACTGTATTTACATACGATAAGACGTGTATTTATAACCCTTCACTCTTCACATCAGCGATCCGGCTTCACCAAAAATAAATTCAAAAGGTTTTTGAAGCCGTGAAACGACCAAGAAATTGTCCGACACCCTTCATTTTCTGATTCTAAAGGAAAAGCAGAGATTTAGCTGCTGCCTTACTGCGTGCACTGTATGCTGGCGTCTATGATTGGGATTGTCTCTCTCTCTCGCTCTCTCTCTCTCTCAGACTCTGAATCAGCAGGTCCCTTCGGTAAACAAGGCAGAGTGATTGTTGAATTTGCATATTGCTGAATAAATCATATTGCGTTTATGCGATAAGCAGCGCTTGACTGTTTGTTAGCTTTTCCTCCTTTTCATCCACCTCTTCTTTCTACAACATTCGTGCACGCTGCCACAAATTAACCCCGATCATGAGGGACCACGCCAGCGAGAAAGCGCTGCTCAAAATTCATGTTTTCCGGTGGTGGGGAAAACCGTGCCATCGGCCGCTGGCGGGGCCCCTCCAACTGCCAACTACGTGGACGGTTAAATCGGGCCCTGATAATGATGCGTGCCGCCGAAGGACAAGGATGGCAGCCGCACTCAATGGTGGGAAAGGGGAGTAGAAAGACGAGGAGGAGGAGATTAAAGGGACTGAAGCTACAGCGAATCAAGAGAGATCAAGAGATGAAGGTGGAGAGGAGAAATGGGAAGATAAGTGGTGGAGGAGGAGAGGAAGAGGACTCCCAAAGATGAGTCTATGAAGGAAAGCAAAAGGAGTCAGCTCCAGTGGATGAAGGGATCTAACGTGGGTGCAAATTACTATTTTGCGTGTGCAGCCAGGCAGGCATATGGACACGTGTGCATATTCACATCACTGTGTCTAATGGGGCTGGGGGTTCTTAATATGAACACATCTACAGTGAGTAGCCCCTGTTTAATTACAGCCCTGCTACGCTAAGGAAGCGACCAGGAGGAAGAAATCCCTCCATTAAAGCCGCATGTAGGCCTGAGCCTTCTCCCCCATCAGTTCAGCTGAGGACTGCTTTTTTTTTTTTTCCTCCTTCTCCCCCCTTATTCCCCTAACTTCCTTCGGAGAATTGGAGACGGTGGTATTTTGGCTGCGAAAAGGAAACCATCGGATGGCAGGGGCATGAATATTCCAAATGACTAATGTTGCACATGCTTATTTCTGACATATCTGGCTTCCGCGGGGAAATAAAACACTTCTAATGCAGGGGGACCATCTGTTATCTGTTGCTGGTGTTTCAGAGCAGGCACGCTCTGTGTGCACACGCACACACACAGATCGACACATTCTCACACAGCGGGAGGCGTACATAGACGGCGAGACGCGCGCGCACGCACACGCACACACACACACACACCCCCGTTGGGAGCATGCACAACAGACAGGCTCTAAACTCCTATACAAATTGAACACTCCTTTTTTTTTTTTTTCCTATTCGGTGTGTTTGTCAAATGTGCTGTAAATCTCGAGCTGGAGGGTGACGGGGAATGCACACGCTTTTTATGCTGGCCATAAATACCTGGGCCTGTCTCCTCGCAGCAGCTGGAGCGGGATAATATGCTCGTGGTGTGAAGGGGGGGGGGGGATAAACTAGCTGTATCACCTTGAAAACAAAACGTGAGACACACAAACGGCCTTCTACATCAGCCACACATCTAAACCAAGTGCATTCTCACTTACATTGGTTTGGAACTATGGCCAAAAGGAATAAAGAGCTCTCTCATGCATGGGTAATCCGTTTGTTATTCTCAGACAGTAGCCGAGCTTCGAGGTGCGCCACAATACTTCCATTCAACAGCAGAATATTTTTGGAAAATGTTTGACGGCTTTATTTGTATTCCTGTGCCTCGACATTTCAACACCACAAGTTATGTTATGTTAAAAAAAAAAAAAAGATTCCACGCGATATCAAATGTCCCAAAATTGATGAATAACAATCATGAATCAACTGCAGCGATCGTTTGTGCCTCAAAAATTAATAATTGTTTCTATACTTTTTTTTAATCAAGTGATTAATAATTAGTTAAAGCCACTATTTAGAATTTGTCTATTTCTGGCTTTGGCACCTCCCAGTGGTGGTATAAAAAAAAAAAAAAGACTGCAGTCACAACCCATCTCATCTGCTTCTTTAAAAGATGACATAATCCCATAAAACTTTACACTTCTAGGTTTTCAAAATAGTGCACATCGTGAGATATCTTCCAAATGTTTGTTTTTTTGACGTGGTAGTTGTACAAAGTATTCACTTAATCCCGCTATGAAACAAAGGTTTCTCAGATTTGTTTGGTACGTCTACGTCACAAACGATTCACACAACCACTGAAGAATCAAATTATCAGTGTTTATCTAGAAAACAATCACTCGTGGAAACATAATGCAAGACATTTTCCTATTTTTACTGTATTTGTAGTAATTCTATTTCCCCGCAAAGACTCCTTAAGCAGCATGTTTGTGGTGCTCCGTATTAGCACGTAGCTGTTCCGTACATCCCAAAACTATTAATATGTGTGACGGGACTGTACTCTTCCTTAGGCGAGACATTTTTAAATGGACAGGCATGTGTTACCTTTGAGGGAAAGCGCTGCAAATTCTTTAAAACACGTGAGATCTAGTCGATCCGTTGCGGCTACCTTGATACAATCTTATGCAACTAGCATCCGGCAAAAATAACCGACACAAAGCTCTCGTGTTTAGGGGCGGAAGCAAACTTTTGCCGATAACTAATTGTGGAAAGGAACATACAACATACAGTGGGGACTCACAGGAGCAGTGGGGGGAGCTAACTTACCTCTGTCAGCTGCCTTTAAGTGAGGATCTTCACCCACGCCTGGTGCGTCTCTGATCTACAAGCAAGTAATGGAAGCAGATAGAGAAAACAAGGTCAAAGCTCTATACACGTGGAAGACCTTGGGTATCACCTGCATTAATATATAAAGAGACAACAACCGTGTGTGTGAGAGAGACGGAGAGTGATTTTAAAAGCTCATCAGCTCAAGTCCATGACTCTAATATCCCAGCAGACACTTGTGCACTTGATGTTGCAAAATACAAGGTTCCTTTTTGTGCTCTAGGAGGCTCCCAGGAGCCTCTGACAGACAGCTTGATGATGAAAGACAACATGCCTGGATGCTAGCGTTCCGTTTTAGGTCACAGGGGGAAAAAAAACAGGCAGAGCCAACACAATTTTAGGTCTTTAATTTTCCTCTTTGAGACGCTGCGTTCATTTAGGTAGATCCAAGTCGTGTTGCAGATCCTCACCACGTGCAAGGTTTTAGGGAGATAATCGCTAAATCCTTGCCAGAGTAAATATTGTCGATCACTAAGCTGTGGCTGTCAGATATTGATATACCGTATGTGAAAATATTGACTTGTATCGCGAGCTGGGAATCTACCTGAGGTAAGAAGAAAATGTGTGCTGTTACAGATGTGCTATGTTCAGTTGTTGACGCTTGTAGGCATTAAGAAATTTAAGAAGAAAAATATATTCCAGAGCGTTCATGATAAACTGACTAAGATTCCCACGTATGGGTGCAGAGGAAATACATCTCTGATTTGATGACTTGATGCTATATGCTGTCATTTCTCTTCCTTCTCTGGAAGCCAGACTGTAAACTCGACTGTGCAAGTGAGAGGCGTTGCCAAACGCAACGTGACTCACCACCTCTGGAGGAGAACAAAAAGCCCGCTTAAGATCACGGTGACATCGCAGGCAGTATTTGAGGTTCAGAATATTTTGACAGATTGAACACAAATGTGAAAATTGCCGTGCCAAGAAAAGAAAAAGAAAAAAAAACCTTAAGAAAACATGTCACCGAGTTAGAAAAATCTTTTGAAATAAAAACCCACCATTGTTATTCCCATGATGCTTTGTCAGCTTAGGTTCCACATCTGGAGGGGAATTTCTATTGATCCTAAAAATCGGCTATGTGTTGTTTTAAGGTTATTTTTACTATTTTTTTCTATTTTTAAACAAATGCATAACAGAAAAGTACAAAAAGATAAAAGTTATATTACAATATTTGAAGAATTCCCACTATCCATTCTCCCACCATCGTCCCCTTTCCTTATCCAGTAAACATTGCGCAGTATTAAGAGTATTTAATAAACACGATGAGGTTCTATCCAAAAGGTAACACCGACCAGCTACTCACTTCACTAACGAAGGTGTTACATCTAATTTGTTCAATTGTTAAAACAACACATTGGGGGATTTAACGGCAGTTATGCACCATTTATATTCAGAGCAGTGTAACCACTTGTCTCATCATGCAGGTGTATTACAAATAGTCATAAGGAGTTTACACCAGAAACAAACGTATACCCTCCTTAAGCAGATCCTCTCATTGTGGTTTCACTAAGCGATTTCCTGGAAAGGTCCAATTGGAACCAGGCCTTTCTGCATGCACGCTTACATATGAAATACTTATGCAGTAGGTATGTGGAATCACTCAACCATCCACTGCTCCTGGACACGGATAGAGAACCAACAACATGTGTGGAAAAAGAAAAATGGAGGAATATGCCCAGGTATGTTTGGTGTTCACTGTTATTCACCTCAGTCTGCTGCACATATTGTTGGACTGCGAGGCAGAAATAATGGAGGCCTCACTTCAAGCTCAGTCCTCTCATTCCACCCATCTCCTCATGTCCACATCATTCTCCGGCTCTTGTTTGTGTCTGAGAAGGAGACCCCGGCGGAGTAAAGCCTTCAAGCAGCTACATATGTCGCTCCAAGGAAAAAAATAAAAATACTGAGGCTCTTGAAAAACCAACCCCCTGCCTTTGAAGGATCTCTATTCTCCATTCCCACCGGCTGCGGGAGATGCATGTAACGACTTAAGACGTACAATGGGAGCACCGCGGGTATTTGTCCACCGAGAGCCAGGGCCCGGTAAATGAAGAGGGGCCCCGCGTACCCAGGAAGCGCCTAATTAATTGACAAGCAGATATTTCTGAGTTTATAATCAAACAGACTTAATTTTGTTCCCCCACCGCCGTCCTCTCCAAATCCATCTTCCCAGGCGACTTACTTAAGAGACTCGTCTTATAAATACAGCCCTAATCAAAATAAATCACTAAAAGCTCTAAGGGAGTTGAAGGCTATACACATTTACATCAGAGGAACTGATGCAATTTAAATAGCCGCCTCTGCGCCGACTTAAGGTTAAAATCACAGAGAACCCTAACTTACGTAACACTTTCAGCGTTTTGTTTTTTTGTTGTTGCTGCTGCTCAGTTTGGCAGACCTATATTCACGACAGCCAAGTAGGAGCGACGCGGCCTCCTTCTATGCGTGGTGCTGTGTTCTATTCCCTCAGCAGAACGCTCGGTGGGTGAGCGTGTCATATTTTACAGAATATTTTCAATATTTAATGCGTTGCATGCTTTTTGTCTCTTTGAAAGCACTTAACATGCGTGTGTTGTCTGCTTGTGTGTATCCGTGTGCTATACATGGAGAGTGTTATGAACGGGGGAACATGTTTGTGTTTATTTTCCTTTGCATAATTTGAAAGGGCTGTACTTATAAGTGTTATCAGTGGCCTGCAATGTTGACAAAAGGTTATAAATAGGGTCTTTTGTTATTGTTACTATTTCATATTTACATTTATCCATCATTGGAATATTAAAGCTGAATTAAGGGACTAATGGGACTCGGTTTGGGGTATCATGTGTGAATGTTAAGTTTGTTTATTGTGTTGGAGTATAAGTGGGAGCCTCACGGCTTTTTTCGCTGTATGCCGGCCAGATGAATTAATTTGCATTAATATATGGTGTTACATGCAACAAACTGTCTTTAGTTTATATATGCTATTTACTGAATAAAGCCTTTCATCATATTGTGGTAGCTTTCAAACATATTAGGTTAATACCTTTCCCCTTAGGTTGTTTTTTTTTAGTAAGGGGAATTGTTGCAACTTTCCACATCCTTCCTGCTCCACATTCTTTCCACAGTTTTGCTCTTTTCTTTAAAAATAGTAGCAGTGGCTGATTTTAAGCCATTATCTGAGAGGCTCTGTTATAACCGGGCACTGATGTCTAGCTGGGGTGAAACGTGAAGATGTATGGAG